GGGGAGGAGGAGGAGGAGGAGGAGGAGGAGGAGGAGGAGGAGGAGGAGGAGGAGGAGGAGGAGGAGGAGGAGGAGGAGGAGGAGGGAGGAGGAGGTGGAGGAGGAGGAGGAGGAGGAGGAGGGGGAGGAGGAGGAGGAGGAGGAGGAGGAGGAGGAGGAGGAGGAGGAGGAGGGGGACGGGCAGCGGGTCACGGGAATCTCCGCCCTCCCGCGAGAGGAGCAGGAGCGCGCGGGGTTGGAGGCGGACGTGGGCCAGGGGCGCCCCGAGGCCCCGCGGGAGGCGCAGGAGGAGCGCGGGCTCCCGGAGGTCGGCACGGAGGGAGCGGCTTTGGCGGGGGTGGCACAGGGCGGGGGGGCCCTGGGACACACAAATAAATACACAGAAATAAAAAAGATGCCCCATATTTCCTCATATTTTCTGGGAGTTCGTCTTCCACCCCACTGCCCATATTTGCCTATATTTCCCTGGGGATCGCCGATTAGGGGAGTGAAGAAAAGGGCCCTCATGTGAAGTCGGGCACGTCCATCTACAGGAGGGAAATTCCACAATAGTAAAAACATGGTCTGGAGACAATGTTGTCTACAATGTTGGACGTTGTGCTGGAATAGTTGTTGCATCTCGTTCCTTTCTCCGCCAAAAAACCCGCCTGGCGGAGGACATGCCGGAGGGAGGGTTGATTGCAACATCGTTGACGCGTCTTGGGGTCACACTGGTCTTCACTCTCCTCCTCCTCACCTGGTCCTCCTCCTCCTCGGGGACTCATCGTTTCTCCTGATCTTCCTCCTTCCCCTCCTCGACCTCCTCGACCCCCTACTCCTCACCCAGCTCCTCCTCATCGTCCTTCGGCCCGGGGGAGAATGAGAGCCCTGACGGGGGGTGGCCCGAACCAGGAGTGGCAAAAAAAGGGGCCCTCAAGGTACAGGGGGAATAGTCAAAAACAGTCAAAACATAATCTGGGGACGATTAGTTGTTTGTATTTGTATGCATTTGGGGTTATTGCTTTGACACTGTTTTGAATTTCTCGTCCAAAACATGCCCGACCTAAGTTTACCACCCGCCCGAGCGGGGGGGAGCGCCACGCAGAAAGCACGTCCAAGGACAGAGACCGGCCTGCCGGCGGGTGCCCCACGGGAAGTTCTGATCCCCCGATCGGGCCGGGGGCCCACAGAGGCTCTGGGGCAAGTTTTGGGCCCGCAGAGATCGACGAATGATGTGCTTCTAGATCCCTTCTGGCAAGGTTTCGCCCCGCATGCACCCACAGTCTGTGACTGGATTGGGGCAGGGCGGGAGCGGGGCACAGACGAGCAGGAGGGAGAGGATGAGGAGGAGGATGACGAGGAAGGGAACGAGGAGGGGAGCGAGGAGGAGGAGGAGGAGGAGGAGGAGGAGGTGGAGGAAAAGGGTGGGGGGGAAGGGGGAGGGAGGAAAAAGGAGAGGAGGGGGGGGGGGAGGAGGAGGAGGAGGAGGAGGAGGAGGAGGAGGAGGAGGAGGAGGAGGAGGAGGAGGAGGAGGAGGAGGGGGAGGAGGAGGAGGGAAGGAGGAAGGGCGAAGGTGAGAGAGAGAGAGAGATGGAGGAGAAGGGGGACGGGGAGAGAGAGAGAGAGAGAGAGAGAGGAGAGAAAGAGAGAGAGAGCGAAGAGAGAGAAAGTGCAAGAGAGAGAGAGAGAGAATACATATATATATAGAGAGAGAGAGAGAGGGAGAGAGACTCGCTCGCGCCATGTGTAGACCTCACATCACCAATCGTCCAGGTTCCCGTTTAGGGTCACTTCAGTCTTGGGCCACTCCATGAGCGCGGCCGATCTCCCCGGCGCCGGCAGGTGGTTTCGTAGTCCCGCCCACGGCCTCTCTCGCCAAGAAGGGGCCGGGTCACCCTCGGGGGCGCGAAGACAGCAGCGCGTCGCGCGTCACGGTCTGGGCCAGAAGTGTTCAGTTTGGCGTGTCCCTCTACAGGAGGAGGAATATTCAAAAATAGTAAAGAAATAGACTTGGGACGATGTTTCGATCATTTTGCGAGTGTGTTCGAATCTTTTCGGCTATTGTTCATTTTTCGTCTAAGGTCCACCTGTAGGGGGACACGCCCGACCTAACAGAAGCGCGACCGTTCCTTAAGAAGGTGGCGGCCGAGAGTCGCAGCGTGAGCCAGGGTGTTTTGCCCTTCTCCGAGGTGGGCGACGCGAGCGCGCAACGAATAGCCGAGCCTCGCCCACCGCGCCCTGGGAGGCGCGGAGTGTCAGGAGGCCCAGCACAGGGGATGGACTCTAGAGGAGGTTGGGCAAAGGCGAGATGTAGCGAGCGTTTGTCCGCGGCCGTTTGTGTTCAAGCGGCCGGCCGCCAAGATTTGATTGTGTCTCACCGCCAAGCACACCTATTTGCCATTCAGACCGAAAACACATTCGGTTGACATGGTTCGTCGTTCCCGCGACTCTCTCCTGCTCTTGGGACTATCGCTACTACGGTATAACAAAGTTGGATACGGGCGTCGCCTTAGGCGAAACATCTGGTTGGGCCCCCCGACCAGCTTCAAACTTGGTAGCGGGGCTGGCCTATGGAGGTAAGTTTTAGCTCTACACCTCACCATCCACGGCATTGTCTGGTAGACTACTGGCATGGTGGAAAATCATGGTGCAGTGGCTCTGCGCACAGGAATGTAATATGCACAATCGCAAGGACACTTGCAGTGCTGCCTCTGATTAAGCGGGGGTATCCCACTTGATTCGTATCTCTCTGCGGTATTGCATTCCTGATGTCCACCCACGTACTCCAAGTGGTTTTTCTTCGAATGTACGATGCGTGGTAACATGCGATACGACGTTGTGCCGCCCCCACTCCCGCGCAAGCTGGCGGCAACGTCACTTCACAAATAACAGCCACACTCAACCGTCTACGACCTACGAGGCCCTTGGATTGGTGTTGCTATATTTGGCCTTCTATGGGTCGCTTTCGGATGCGCTGTTGGACATACGCAGCGTGGCGGAGACGACACACGTACTACCGGCCCCCATTGGGACCCTGCCAGGAATGCACCCTGTCGGCGAGTTCGCTCGCGAGGTACATGCCTGGATCAACGTGATCACAGGCACTGCGACCCCATCCCAACAGTCTGCCGCTCTACAATGTGGTCTGGGAGGGCTCGCAAGGACCATAGCCATGAGAGCCCCCCCCGCAGTAATCAACTTCGGTATTAATATTGGCGGTCGCCACACCGACGGCGTCGCCTATATCATGTCCCCCCTCAGCACTCAGTTTGCAAACCTGGAAGAGGAACGGCAACTCAATTCGGGAACGGCTCTCATTGACTTTCGCGTCCATGCGGGCGGACGGACCGACCAGACGCTGGCTCGTTTCGGGATAGCACGCTTCGAAGCCGACACCGCGGGTTTCAACATCCCAAACTTCCAGATCCTGACAGTTATACGGTTCAGAGCCCTAGGTGTTGGTACACCGCGTGCACAGCAACTACTACAACCATTGAACCACCAAATGCAGGACTCAGCAGCAGTTTGACGCTTTACTAGAGCGCAAGAGGGCTCACGCCCATATTGCTGAGCGAACCCTTGGCAACATTGGTGGTGTTTTCAGTCATGGCCACCGCGCTGATGTCTTTCATGGCGACACTCATGCGGAGCAACTTGCCAGCGACGTCTGGAATGACGAGACCACCACTCTATTAAGCCAAGAAGGTGGCCAGCCCACGGGGTCGCAAGACTCCTGGGCTCGATATCAGGGACCGTCGGTAACGGCGGCCCCTACCCAAGCCACTACCTCCTCGGCCCGGCGGGGCAGCCCGTGGAGTCCGAATTTGATTCCGGCACCGACGCTGACACCTCAAAAGATAAGGGAATTTGCAAACTGGATTAATCTGACATGCCTGCGCATCTCACTGGCTAGCAACAGGCGCAGTGGATATTCCTAGGATACCAGAAGCACAAGCGCCGATGGGGACGCTTTACAAAAAAACAGTTCGAAAGGTGCGACGCGCAGTCCGACGGGTCTAACGACGGAGATCGCATGGTAGAGGCATGCTAACATTTCTGGCGTCCCTTGCGGGACTGCAGTATGAAGAAATCTTCCTGGGGAAGGGTAGAGGCCGTAGTCGCACCTCAGGAATTGGTCAGGGACGTCGGGGTAACCCACGAGATGTCAACGGGTGAACCATGGAATTTGGCATCTGCCATAATACCCAACATTTTCGTCGCGAGTGCCTCCGAGGCGATGGGAGGTGCAGGGGTCCGTCGATACATTTGGCTCAAGCCGATTCCGGCATGCAGTAAGTCGATTGGGAGGCTCTTCTTGCCGAGCCAGAAGCCAACCCCCGAGCCGCCGTCCATTTCATGTCCGCGAGGCATCTCAGTGCCAGCGTGTCCCTCGATAGGTGTGCCGACGAGCTCTTCGAGGAAATCTACGTTGGCCGCGATGAGATCGATCTTGCAGGCTGGCTGGGCATCCTTATCACGGGGCAACCTGCGCACGTAGAGTTAGTTCATCGAGGACTACCGCGCGCGCGCCGACTCGGATCGCGAGACGGCGGGGGCACCTGCATCCCCCGACGGTTACGAGCCGGACAATTCTGATGATAAGACGATGCCCGCGACGGAGGAGGAGCTCCAATTGGCGCTCCGACCGCTGGCGATTGGGAACCCTACGCGCAGGAAAACCTGCGACGGCGATCCTCTGCGGGGTAACCCGCGCGACGCAGGCGACCTTTCCGAGCGCGTTGAACATGAATCTGGACACAGCGAAGGCTCTCACGTCACTCTTGCACTACACGGCCGGTCTTCGAGCCGCCCCGTCTGGAGACGCGCATGTCGCGCCGATCATAATAAAGATGAGGTGTAGGGGGCCGAGCCACCCGCCGCGCCGCCATCGGCGGAGTCGTTCGCGCGTGCGCTCGCGCGCCCGCTCAGGCGGCGCTCAGCGCCCTCGCCCGCGCGATCCGAGAGAATCGCTTAGACGGGAACGTTCGCGGGGAAAACCGCATCAGGATGACGAAAGCTCAGGCGAACCCGATGGCCCGCGTCGATTTAGACTTATCGCCGAACAGAACGACGGGCTTCCTCGCCAACGCGTGCCAGCCAACCACATGGATTACTGGCTGCAACAGGGTTACACCGAGCACCAAATCTGACTTTAGTGGTTATTGAGTAATGCGAAGCGGAATGAACAAGGCAAAATCATCCGTTCCAACAGAGAGGTCGGCACCAATAAGCTCGGAACGCCGGCAGGGAAGGCCGACAAAAGGGCATCGAGAAGAGATTTGTGGATGCGACCATTTTGCAGACCACAGACCGAATTGCCCGATGGGG